ATATATATATATAATACTTTATTTATTTATTATACTTTAATTCTGCAATTGGAATGGATTCACATTGTGGAAATCACAAGGCCTTAATTAATTTGAGTCCATTTTACTCTCAGTAAAATGGCATTTTGCTGATGAAAATAAAAATGTTGTTAATAATATGCAAAATGATGTATTTTAATCTATCAAACATATAAAGGATTAATGAACTTCTAATGTAATATAATGTCAAAACGGTCCTGAATGAATGATTTTAATTCACATTTAAATTCTGCATCCTGTTTGTCATCGTTCTTTTACCTGTCTGTGATTCCTGGTAGGATGAAAAACATCCAGAAATGGATGCCGAACACAAGGACGACCTGGAAAATCACTTTTCCCATCACTGTCTTGCGGAGGTACAGGGCGCGATCCACCACCATCGTGCCGAACTGGATGAGCACCATGACAAGGAACGGCCCGGGAACTTGGTCTTCTGACAGCGAGGATGTGATATCAGCACCTCCCTGATGTTTCTGTGAGCCAGACAAAACACACATAGCCAAGGAGAGTTCGGGACACCGGCCCTCCAGGACCGAGTTTGGACAGCCCTGAGGTAAACCTTTGCTTTTGCATTAAAGAATTACATTTGACTTGATGTATTTAGTTACTAAATGTTCCTTATTGTCAAAGATGTCAGTGCAAAATGTTATGATTGTAAAATGTATAATTTTCTCCTCTCCAGGTTTCAGATAGGTCTCGATTCTGCAGATGTATCCTGGTGAAAAGTGCAATGTCATGCTGAAGCTCTTTACTTGTGTTTGATTTTCTGAAATAATCTGAAACCTGGAGAGAGGAGGAGAGAAACCTCAAACGCTAGGAATTGATTTTAAAAACCCATTTTATGGTTTTCAAAGCTCTCAACAGTCTAGTGGCTTCGTTTAGATTTCTTAATGTCTGGTGAATTATGTTTCCAGCTGAATCTTGGCTCTAATCTTTCCTCTGAGCTGCTAATCGTCTCAAATCTATAGCAGAAAACAAGCAAAGCAGCCGCTATTTATTCTGAACAAGAATATGGAAGCGATCCACCACCATCGTGCCGAACTGGATGAGCACCATGACAAGGAACGGCCCGGGAACTTGGTCTTCTGACAGCGAGGATGTGATATCAGCACCTCCCTGATGTTTCTGTGAGCCAGACAAAACACACATAGCCAAGGAGAGTTCGTTTTAAGAGTCCGTTTAGAAGAGAAAAAGGCAGGATCTGATCTGAAACCTTGCTGTCTACTGGCATGCATCATGTGTATATTTTTTTTATATTTTTAATACTAATTGCAAATACTTTCAAATTTACCCCAAATGCCCAGAAGCCAAAGACAATAATGATGAAATCAACAGTGTCTGCTAGAAACATCAAGACGTAAACATCTGTCACGGCGTTGTACTCAGGGTGGATCAGGTTATAGAAGAACTGACGGATGGGCTGATAGAACTCAACCAATCTGAAGAGAGAAGATAATATACAGAGACAGGCTAATATAACATATTAAAAACAGGATAAAGAATGAAAGCGTGTGCATCAATCAGCCAAAACAGTCAGCATGAAATGGCATTCATAACCTATTTTACTTACATAATCTGTTCAATGAGAGAAAAATGACTTGAATTTATCCATTATCCAACTGACTGGATCATTTAAAGTGTAGGGCACTATGAAATCTGTTTTGTTTTTTCCCCAAATTCCATGTTTTTCATTTTAAATTTGTCTGGATTCCATTTTAATACTTGAATTAAATTTAAATAAGCAAAAAGCACGTCTGATCAATTGAATTCATTCAATTGTAGCAATTTAATAATTTATTAAAATGTTAACAATAATAGTGCCATATGATGAATAGTTTTAATCTTCTGGATTCTTTCTTTGTTTTATAGTTTCATGCAAATGTATCATCCAAGATGATGATAATCAAATGTATGCATAAAACTTTAACAATGTAATCTTTTAAAATATAATTCTAGTCATTTTTTGGGAAAACAGTATTGCACAACCGAGATTTACTCTTTAAAATTAAAACATGGGCCAAAAAAATTGTGATAGTCCTTAAAAATTATGTTGATATACTGTAATATACTCTAATATTATTTGTTTCCTGCATCCACATAAAGGAAAAGTTGCCTCAGTGGTGGAGAAAGATTCTTTTTCTTTAATATAAATACATTCTTTTTATATAATATTTATAAATATTATCATTCGTTTTTATTTTTATTATTTTTAGATTTTTTTAATATATAAAATGTATTATTTATTTATTTATTCTAACAATAACATCTGTTTTTCCAAACGCACTTACTTTTTGATCACATAAACCTTTGCTTTGATGAGCTGCTCTCGGACCTTCTCCATGATCATTTCTTTGCGGCTCTTCTGTGGTACTTCTGGCTCTATGGTGCTGTTTTCCCTTCGAATGCTGTTCCGTGTGCTTGTGCTGCCTGTGAAAGCAACCAAACATCACCACAGTTAAATTCATAGTAATGCTTGACTATAAACTTCCAAGAAAAAACTAGTTATTTCGCTAGTTGTCTAAAATGACGATGCTTGTCCACCGGCTAGATCAAGATGAAACCAGTGCTAGTAAAACCAATGCACGAGTTCGTCTATGCATGTGAATTTGAGATGAAACGATGTTTGGGTCAAGACTTCTCACCACGTTTGGAGCGCACAGATGAGCGACGGGACAGGTGAGATCCGCTAGTGCTCTGCCGCCGCAGGTGAGGCCGATGCTCAGGGTAAAGTATTTGCACGTGCACCTGGGACGAGTCCACGGACATGCCGAGGTTCACGGACTTGAGCGAGTACGCTGGAGAACTCCTCTTCTCTTCCTCAGGTGGAATCGACACCGCCATCTTCCCCTCGTCCACAGAATCGTCCTGATGAAGACACTCATCCTTACGGGATGCTTTAGGGTCGTCTTCATCCCAGAGACCGTGACACTGAGCCCGAGAGAGAGAGAGAGCAGGTGCATTAATTCAGGAAAACAAACGCTAAGGTATCGCAGGATTGGAAAAGGAAAACTGTGATTCATCCAAGACCCATTTATTGCCTGTTTAATCAAAGTTGTAAAGTAAATAAATGGCACTTTTGGAAACAAGATAAAAATTTCAATACCATTACATTAAGCAATAAAAATAAATTAAATAATAATAAAAAAAAAACACAAAATCAGGGCTTTAAAATGGATTCTGCAGGGCTGCAAAATAATTGCAAACCCCATTAAATAAATCTAAAATGCTCGTATAATATTTAACAACCAACACTTTCTGAAGGCTTGTTGGGTTGCGTTTTAAAATCACACAAATCTTTACAAGCAGTGTTTATTATTTCATAAAATCAAAGAGAAGTAAAAAAAAAAACACTTCAGCATGACATTGCACTTTTTTAACTAGGGTAGTAATATCACAAAAACGGCAAAATCTGAAACGTAAAGATATATAAATGTTCTAATTGTAATTTTCGAACTGATTTTTAATATACAAATAATATAATAAATATAAGCATTATTATTATTAGGAATGTTTTATATAATATTTATATTTTTTATATAATATTTATATTTTTAATTATAAAATTGTAATGTTTTTGCCTTTTTTAACTATAATGTGCACTGATGAATCTTTCACAGTAGGAAACATTTAGTAACTGTAGAAGTAAATAAAGTACATTTGAATTCTTTTCCCACACACTCATTTTTGAACAGGTAAACCAGGGCTGTCCAAACTCGGTCCTGGAGGGCCGGTGTCCTGTATAATTTTCTCCTCTCCAGGTTTCAGATAGGTCTCGATTCTGCAGATGTATCCTGGTGAAAAGTGCAATGTCATGCTGAAGCTCTTTACTTGTGTTTGATTTTCTGAAATAATCTGAAACCTGGAGAGAGGAGGAGAGAAACCTCAAACGCTAGGAATTGATTTTAAAAACCCATTTTATGGTTTTCAAAGCTCTCAACAGTCTAGTGGCTTCGTTTAGATTTCTTAATGTCTGGTGAATTATGTTTCCAGCTGAATCTTGGCTCTGATCTCTCATCTAAGTCGCTAAACATCTAAAAACTGAAGTAGAAAACAGCCAGTATTTATTCTGAACAAGATTTTGGAATGCAAAATCCATTCGTGTGCAAACCTTAAAGCTCAAATAAATATGCAAACATATAGTATTTAAATATAATGACAAAATATACTTATTTAGGTTTTTAATTCTGCATTTATCTTTGCATTTGCTAACTCTCACAGCTAACAGGGAACGTTCTCTCAAAAGTTATGAGCAACCATAGGCGGAGGGCCACGGGGTCTTATGGCAAAAATGCCACTAAATTGGACAAAAATGCTCCTGCACAAACAAATTAAATATATTGAGTCTGTTGCTAACAAAGAGGAAATGAATAGAAAGTGTCGATTCGATCGCGGCATTAGATTAAGATCTGCTCATGTTGCACCGTATTTCATTTTGTTTTTACAGTTTTGTGCATTATAACCAATCACACACGATTCCGTTGAGCTTAGGAATGCAATGGCCAATCAGAGGCGTTCAGATGAGTCATCGCTGAAACTCATCAGCTTTGTTGAGTGTGCGCGCGTTCGCTGACTGATCTCATCATAAACAGCAAAGCGCAGATGTACGTACAATGTAAGTAAGAGATTAATTTCACAGTGTAGACAGCTTCAGTGATTATAATGATAGTTTTTTTTGAGAGTGCTTAAACTCGCGATAGATCAAAGTTAGTGATGTCACTTTCTGTAGGCTATACTATTTATTCGCCGTTTGAATACACGTTATATAATTATGAATGTCTAATGTTTTAATTAAATTGTAATCACGTTAAATACAAATTCAGTCCCATTAAACATATTTTATTAGCCTACATGACACCCATGTCTGGTTCTTGCCTAAAACGACATAATGTTTGTATTTAATAGATTTGGCTGCTTTTAGCCTTACCCTGGAGTTGGTTCACCCTCCGCCTATGTGAGCAACTTTCATCAAGTAACTTTAAAAGAGCATTTGTTCAAAGTTATCTAGTTTTTATGTTTTAGTTTGACATTCGTGGGTTATTTCCCATTTCAGAATGTTCAGAGAACATTCAAACCTTCAAATGTAACGTTCCCAAAATTATAAAATAGAATGTTCATTTAAACGTTGTGGCATAACTAAGAAAAAAAAAAGTTTTAAAACATTTAATCAACTGGACGTTTTGAACATTCTGAGAACGTTTCTAAATGATGTTTTCATAACTTTATGGGAACATTAGCAAACCTTTCTTAGATTGTATTTTTGTCAGCTGGGCTAGACACAATAATTTTTTTACAAATTATTTTTATTATGCTTCAAAGTTGCTTTACTGACAAGCTTTATTAGTGCTACTAGATTCGCCACAACAATCATCACTATGATGTGGCAAATGAGAGTATGTACCTTTAGTATGGATCGGTGGAAAAACAGCACCAGCAGCTGAACCAGGTCATAGTGCACGTATCCTTCTTTCCTTTCTGTGCCGATGATGTTGGGCGGATGGTATGGCTTCCCCTTGGTGACATCCAGGTTCTGGTTGAATGGGAAAAAACTGAACTGGAAGAAGTATTTGACGACGATTGTGACCTGGAGAAAAAAAAACAAAACACATTTACAAATTATTTATACCTATATTTAATGTAATAGTTCACCCAAAAATAACAATTAGCTAAAAATCTCCTCACCCTCAGGCCATTCAAGATGTAGATGAGTTTGTTTCTTCATCAGATTTGGAGACATTTATCATTACATAATTTGCTCACCAATGGATCCTCTGCAGTGAATGGGTGCCGTCAGAATGAGAGTCCAAACAGCTAATAAAAACATCACAATAATCCACAAGTGATCCACACCACTCCACTCCAGTCCATCAGTTAACATCTTGTGAAGGGATCATTGCGGCGTTTTAACTGCACTTCTGGCCAGAAGTCCTAATCCATAATAATGCTTCCTTCAGTGAAAGAAAGTCCAGCCCCTGTTGCTTCTCACATCAAAATCCACCTACATTTCTTTTAAACTGTTCTGGCTTGTAGATGGTGCTTGATTTGTGCAGATTTCTCTCCTGATTTAGACAAAGTGACTTTTTGAGTATTATGAATAGAGGATTCAACTGTTTAAAGTTAAAAACGTCTTGATGGATTTGTTTCTTACAAACATGCAGCTTTTGTCTTCTCCAGATGTTAACTGATGGACTGGAGTGGTGTGGATCACTTGTGGATTATTGTGATGTTTTTATCAGCTGTTTGGACTCTCATTCTGACGGCACCCATTCACTGCAGAGGATCCAGTGGTGAATGCAAGTGAATGCTACATTTCTCCAAATCTGATGAAGAAACAAAATCACTACATCTTGGATGGCCTGAGGGTGTATAACTTGAATGTATAACTGGGTCTGCACAGAGTCTGTGCCATTCACTGAAAACAAACCCTGACCTCTGTGTACACGATGGCCGTCATCCAGAAACGCTTGCTGGGCCGAGGAACAGAGAGCATCGCCCACAGGAAGATGAGGATGGGCAGCACCAGTGTTGCCATGGAAGCCGAGATCATGTGGTTGAGGATGATGATCAGGTAACAGACCATCTCCGAGTGCGCCACCAGCAGGTTATAGAGAGCGTAACACAGCTGGAGCCCGAGTGGCTGCGATTTATAGAAATGCTCAGAATTCTCCAGCTCCTCATCATAGAACATTCTGGATAACAGCGCAAAAACAGATCCCATTAAATGACCGTATGCAGGCAGTCTCTTACCTACAATTCACACTTCTATTGTGCTCCAGTTCTGCTGGTGATGAGAGCACCAGCAATATTTGAATATTAGCAATGTTGTTATTGTCAACTAAAACTCAAATATTTTTGCTAAATAAAAATAAAGCTGAAATAAAATACATGAAATTAATACATCAAATATTATATTAAATTAAAAATATTACAGATATAAAGATATAGTTGTTAGAACTAAGATGAAAAACTACCTAAAAATGACAAAAGCACATTATAAAATTACTAACTGAAAACTAAATCTAAAGCTTAACTAAAATTAAAAGGCAACTATTTTTAAATATCTTTAAAGACAAAAACTAATAAAAATGACAAAAGCTCATAATAAAATGACTGAGATGAAACCAAAACTAAAGCTTAAATAAAAATAAATTACAACCATTTAGATATATCTTTAAAAACAAAAAAAGCACATCATAAATGTACTAAATGAAATAAAACAATCTAAATGGCAACTACTTAGAAATATTTTTAAACAAAACCAATAAAAATGACAAAACACTTAAAATTAGTAACTAAGATATAACTAAAATTTAAATAAAAATAAAAAGCAACCATTTAGAAATATTTTAGGAAACAAAAACTAAAAATGACAAAAGCTCATAAATTACTGAGATAAAACTAAAATAAAAAAAATTACAACTATTTAATGTAAATATATTTTTAAAACAAAAACTAATTAAACTGACAAATGCAAATAATAAAATTACTATCCATTTATCTATTTAGAAATATTAAACTAAAACTAATAACAAACAAAATTGCTCAAAAATGACTGAAAATATATAAAAAATAAAAGCTAATTCAAAATATTAATAAAAACTACTATATAAATAATAGTAAAATAACACTGGTTTGCAGTAAGATGTGTGATTATTGGGATCTTTTACCACACTGACACCACAGAGCCCTCTGAATAAGCTGTGATGTAATTGAGACAAGCTCTATGTGAAAGAACTCACTTGTTGAGCAGCAGTTCGCTGGCGGTCAGATCGGTGGTCATGGAGGGCAGCAGAGGGTCGTCCAGATCAGATCTGCTGTCGGGCGTCATCAGCATCAGCCGTTTGTCACTGTCACTTTCGTCCGAGCTCAAAGACAGACGGTCGAAGCTCACGGCTTTGCTGTAGCTGGGCGGCACGTCAGCGTCCGAGGTGTTGGGGGCGTCTGTGTCCGGGGTGAAAAGATGCCCGCTGATCACGTTCTCCAGTCCTGATGATTCACCTTCATCCTGTCGGATCGGCTGTTTACCGTCCTCATCTTCAGTAATGTACTGCTCTTCTTTTTGATGCTCCTCACAATCCAGCTGAGGAACCTGAACATCTTCAACTGCTTCCTCTGGATCCACTGAATCCCATTGGACTTCCTCTTCCACGTCTCCTGTCACTTCCTCTGCTGGCTCATCTGTCACTTCCTGTGTCACTTCCTCTTCCAGCTCACCTGTCTCTTCCTGTGTCACTTCCTCTGCTGGCTCATCTGTCACTTCCTCTTCCAGCTCACCTGTCTCTTCCTGTGTCACTTCCTCTGCCGGCTCATCTGTCGCTTCCTCTGCTGGCTCATCTGTCTTTTCCTGAGTCACTTCCTCTGCCGGCTCATTCGTTGCTTCCTGTTTCACTTCTTCCTCTTTCACTTCCTCATGATCTGCTCTCTCAGGTTTGTCCTCAACAGTCTCTGCGGTTTCCTCCTCTTTCACCTGCACCTGTTCTCTCTCGTCCTCGACCTCGTCTATAGTGTCATTGGTTCCTTGCCGAGAGAACAGTGTGACGCACTGAGTAGCTTCACTAGAAGCAAAACCACAAAAACAACACCAACTGATGAGTTCAAAACAACCACTGTAAACTTATCAATCTGTGAACAGTATAACATCTTAAAGGGATAGTTCACCCAAAAATGAAAATTTGATGTTTATCTGCTTACCCCCAGGGCATCCAAGATGTAGGTGACTTTGTTTCTTCAGTAGAACACAAAAGAAGATTTTTAACTCAAACCATTGCAGTCTGTTAGTCATATAATGGCAGTCAATGGGCTCCATGGCTTTGAGAGTCAAAAAAACATACACAAACAAAACCAAATTAAACACTGCGGCTCGTGACGATACATTGAGGTCTTAAGACACGAAACGATCGGTCTGTGCAAGAAACTGAACAGTATTTATATAATTTTTTTACCTCTTATCCACCGCAATGTCTGAGCGCATTCACAACATCCGACGCATGTACTTGCTCTGGCATAGTAGACATAGATATATATAAGTAGATGCCTCATTAGTGACTGTTTCTATGGGCCGCGATACGTTCCAAAATGGCTATACATATCTATGATAGTAGACGCATGTGCGGAAGCGATCTGTCGCGCGTGTACGTCACTCATTATTTACACAGTGCAGAGAAATTGTGGACATGTTCACTGGCACTGCGATGATCTAAAGATAATTAGAAGTACAGGTCATCACAATGGAAGATGATTTTGATAAATCATCAGACAACGTGGAATTTTTTGCCCAACCGTATTTATTTGACGTCACGCGCCGGCTGTTGAGAACGCGCTCAGGACAAGTTGGACATTGTGGTGAATCAGAGGTAAAAAATGATATAAATACAGTTTCTTGCACAGACCGATCGTTTCGTGTCTTAAGACCTCAATGTATCGTCACGAGCCGCAGGGTTTAATTTGGTTTTGTTTGTGTATGTTTTTTG